GGAGCATGGAGAAGAGGAAGAGCAGCAAAGAATCGTCTGAGGATTTGGGGACAAAAATTTTGGAAAAGCATGGACAATCTCAAGGTTACAAGTTCATCTCCAGAGATCCTAATGTTCCTGTGTCCACTGTGCACAACATTGTCAAAAGGTTTACAGCCCATGGCACTGTAGCTAATCTCCCTGGATGGGGACGAAAGAGAAAAATTGATCAAAGATTGCAACGAAGAATTGTTCAAATGGTGATTAAAGAACCTCCATCAACTTCCAGACAAATCCAAGTCAACCTTCAGGCGCAGGGTACAACTGTGTCCGCTCGCACTATACGTCGCCATCTGAATGAAAAGGGACGCAATGGTAGGAGACCCAGGAGGACCCCACTGCTGACACAGAAATATGATAGGAGGCCCAGGAGGACCCCACTGCTGACACAGAAATATGATAGGAGGCCTAGGAGGACCCCACTGCTGACACAGAAATATGGTAGGAGACCCAGGAGGCTGACCCCACCGCTGACACAGAAATATGGTAGGAGACCAAGGAAGACCCCATTGCTGACACAGAAATATGGTGGGAGGAAGACCCCAGGAGGACCCAGGAGGACATTGCTGACACAGAAGTATGGTAGGAGACCCAGGAGGACCCCACTGCTGACACAGCAATATGGTAGGAGACCCAGGAGGACCTCACTGCTGACACAGAAATATGGTAGGAGACCCAGGAGGACCCCACTGCCGACACAGAAATATGGTAGGAGACCCAGGAGGACCCCACTGCTGACACAGAAAGATATTGGAAGGTAGATTGGAGTTTTTCAAAACTTACCTGAGGAAGCCAATGGGAGAATGTGCTGTGGACAGACGAAACAAAATGGCAGCTTTTTGGTAAAGCCCATAATTCTACTGTTTTCAGAAAAAGCAATGAGGTCTTTAAAGAAAAGAATCCAGTCCCTCCAGTCACAAATGGTAGTGTGTGGGGGGAGGGGGGGGGGTCACTGATGTTTTGGGGTTGCTTTGCTGCTTCAGGCACTAGATGTCTTGGCCGTGTGCATGGAATTATGAAATCTGAAGACTTCCAAAGAACTCTGGGGTGCAATGTAGGGTCCAGTGTCAGAAAGTTGGGTCTCTGTCAGAGGTCATGGGTCTTCCAGCAGGACAATGACCCAAATTACACGTCAAAGAGCCTCCAGAAATGGCTTCAGACAAAGTGCTGGAAAGGACTGAACTGGCCAGCAATGAGTCCAGATCTCAATCCCATAGAGCTCCTGTGGAGAGATCTCAGAACAGCAGTTGGGAAAAGGAACCCTTCCAATCAGAGAGACCTGGAGCAGTTGGCGAAAGAAGAGCAATCCAAAATTCCAGTAGAAAGCTTGAAGAAACTCCATTGATGGTGACAGGAAGCCATTGATTTCAGTTATTTTTCCCAAGGGGTGCGCTACCAAATAATCAATGAAGGGTGCCAATAATATTATCCAGTCCATTTTGGGGGTTTTGCGTGGAATGTGTCAGATTTGGCTTTTTGTTTCTCCACTTTTTTGTGTCATACCGATACAAACACAAGAAATAAACTCGAGAATGCTCTTCTGAGAGTTCAGAAAAAAAGGGGTGGAGAGCTGAAATTACACTCTGCAGAGTTCAGTGAGGAGAGCTCGGAAAGCTGATTGGAGGGAAGAGACACACCCCCTTCACACAGCACACAGGAACAAAGCTGAGGCTGTCAATCTGCTCGAGGCCCTTCCCCTGTCACCATTTGTCTCTTGGTGTCAGGAAAACTTGGCAGACGTGACTCATGCTGATAGCGGAAGGAAGCAGCAGACAGAAATGACACTAATGGGGTAAAATCTGCACTCCATTAGCTTTAAAAGCATCAGGGGTCTAAACAGTCCCTTGATGTCTCAATAAAGAGGACCTGTCACCAAATAAAGCATCACACGGGGACTTCATGTGATGAAAAATAAAGTTTTGTGAATAAAAAAAGTCTAAAAGAATTAAAGTTACACCCAAATACTTAAACCCCCTCCAAAACATTTTGAGCCCCACCCCCCAATACACAAACTTAGGAATGTAAAACACATGCATGGGCGGTGCCAATGCATGAAAATATTACTGGGCTACACGTTATATATTGCTGTGCAAGCCAAATTGAGAGCAATAGTTCTAGGCCTATTATAAATGGTGAACTTTAAACCAGAGGTCTCCATACTGCTACCTTTATCTGGCATTTGCAGCACTGGTCCTGTCAGTGATGAGGTAATATTCCTCCCACTGACACCAACGATGGGGCACTATTCATCCCACTAATACCAATGATGGGGCACTATTCCTTCCACTGACACCAATGATGGGACACTATTCATTCCCACTGACACCAATGATGGGGCACTATTCATCCCACTAATACCAATGATGGGGGCACTATTCCTTCCACTGACACCAATGATGGGACACTATCATTCCACTGACACCAATGATGGGACACTATTCATCCCACTAATACCAATGATGGGGCACTATTCCTCCCACTGACACCAATGATGGGGCACTATTCCTCTCACTGACACCAATGATGGGACACTATTCCTCCCACTGACACCAATGATGTGACACTATTCCTCCCACTGACACCAATGATGGGGCATTATTCCTCTCACTGACACCAATGATGGGACACTATTCCTCCCACTGACACCAATGATGGGGCACTATTCCTCCCACTGACACCAATGATGTGACACTATTCCTCCCACTGACACCAATGATGGGGCACTATTCCTCCCACTGACACCAATGATGTGACACTATTCCTCCCACTGACACCAATGATGGGGCACTATTCCTCCCACTGACACCAATGATGGGCATTATTCCTCTCACTGACACCAATGATGGGACACTATTTCTCCCACTGACACCAATGATGGGGCACTATTCCTCCCACTGACACCAATGATGGGGCACTATTCCTCCCACTGACACCAATGATGGGGCACTATTCCTCCCACTGACAACAATGATGGGGCACTATTCCTCCCACTGACACCAATGATGGGGCACTATTCCTCCCACTGATACCAATGATGGGGCACTATCCCTCCCACTGATACCAATGATGGGGCACTATTCCTCCCACTGACACCAATGATGGGGCACTATTCCTCCCACTGATACCAATGATGGGGCACTATTCCTCCCACTGATATCAATGATGGGGCACTATTCCTCCCACTGATACCAATGATGGGGCACTATTCCCCCCACTGATACCAATGATGGGGCACTATTCCTCCCACTGACACCAATGGTGGGGCACTATTCCTCCCACTGACACTAATGATGGGGCACTATTCCTCCCACTGACACCAATGGTGGGACACTATTCCTCCCACTGACACCAACATGGGGCACTATTCCTCCCACTGACACCAATGATGGGGCACTATTCCTCCCACTGATACCAATGACCAATGATGGACCAGCAGCCCTATGGTCATGTTTTTTTTTTTTGCTGGGCCGCATCAAAATACGTAATACATGCTTTTCTGCAGAGTTTCCATTGAAGTCTATAGAACCAAAAACTTTACTTTTTTGCGTTCAAAAAAGTCTCTCTTTTCAAAAAGCGCACCGGGTGAATACACGCAGATGTGAACATGTCCCATAGGTAATCATGTTAAATGGACTGCTGTGCATTTCTGCAAAACGCCGTAGAGAACGCTTAGGTGTGAACCTGGGGTTAATGATTTTTTTAAATGTGCAAAAAAAAAAAAAAAAAAAGGCAAAAATGGTTCTGAAAACGAAAGGGTTAGCGCTGCCGTGGCCACACAGATGCACCACCTTCATTTTTAGCACCAAACTTTTCTTTGCATGAAAGCTCTGATACGGCTCGATACACGACATATCCATAATATTCCGTCTTCTCGTATTCCGCAAATACTGCGCTGTGATCAGAGGCATCATTACCGTCATTCGCAGCACACGCTCATCACTTTCATTCTGCTAATCATTTCATTTCCCTTCCTGTACGGCCCTGCTGGGGGCGCCGCGCTTTGAGAGCAGCTACTTGTATTGGTAATGATGCTGAACCCATGTAGTGTTAGGGGCTCGTCCCGATAACAAGTCATGTGATGTCGCTGGGGATACCTGGCTTACAACCATCTGATCAGGTATGGGCCCCTATAGATCGATCCCCATCTGACCCGCTAATATGTTTGCCTTAAAGTGTTCCTAAACCCCGGACCCCGCATTCACTATATCCGGTCTCCCCGGACCCCGCATTCACTATATCCGCTCTCCCCGGACCCCGCATTCACTATATCCGCTCTCTCCCCGGACCCCGCATTCATTATATCCGCTCTCCCCCGGACCCCGCATTCACTATATCCGCTCTCCCCGGACCCCGCATTCACTATATCCGCTCTCCCCGGACCCCGCATTCACTATATCCGCTCTCCCCGAACCCTGCATTCACTATATCCGCTCTCCCCGGACCCCGCATTCACTATATCCGCTCTCCCCGGACCCCGCATTCACTATATCCGCTCTCCCCGGACCCCGCATTTACTATATCCGCTCTCTCCCCGGACCCCGCATTCACTATATCCGCTGTCCCCGGACCCCGCATTCACTATATCCGCTGTCCCCGGACCCCGCATTCACTATATCCGCTCTCCCCGGACCCCGCATTCACTATATCCGCTCTCCCCGGACCCCGCATTCACTATATCCGCTCTCCCCGAACCCCGCATTCACTATATCCGCTCTCCCCGGACCCCGCATTCACTATATCCGCTCTCCCCGGACCCCGCATTCACTATATCCGCTCTCCCCGGACCCCGCATTCACTATATCCGCTCTCCCCAGACCCCGCATTCACTATATCCGCTCACCCCGGACCCCGCATTTACTATATCCGCTGTCCCCGGACCCCACATTCACTATATCCGCTCTCCTCAGACCCCGCATTCACTATATCCGCTCTCCTCAGACCCCGCATTCACTATATCCGCTCTCCCCGGACCCCGCATTCACTATATCCGCTCTCCCCGGACCCTGCATTCACTATATCCGCTCTCCTCAGACCCTGCATTCAATATATCCGCTCTCCCCGGACCCCGCATTCATTATATCTGCTCTCCCCGGACCCCGCATTCACTATATCCGCTCTCCTCAGACCCTGCATTCAATATATCCGCTCTCCCCGGACCCTGCATTCACTATATCTGCTCTCCCCGGACCCCGCATTCACTATATCCGCTCTCCTCCGGACCCTGCATTCACTATATCCGCTCTCCCCGGACCCTGCATTCACTATATCCGCTCTCCCCGGACCCTGCATTCACTATATCCGCTCTCCCCGGACCCTGCATTCACTATATCCGCTCTCCCCGGACCCTGCATTCACTATATCCGCTCTCCCCGGACCCTGCATTCACTATATCTGCTCTCCCCGGACCCCGCATTCACTATATCCGCTCTCCCACAGTACACAGAACATGGAAATATAGTTATTTTAGTAAATATAAACTGCTAAATCCCTTTTCTCATCACCAGTATAGAGCAGTCATGTGACTTCTATCAGTGTCCAGCAGAGCACTGGTTAAAGCTTGTAGGAGGTGTTTTTATTCTGCTTTCACTGTCCTATGAGGCTGCACAATCACACCACAGCTGCACCAAAAAGGTGCAGGACCCTTTTTCGGTCCGCACTAGAATCGGACCGCATGAGTATCTGCACATCGCACCGCGTTTTTGCGAACCAATTTCCAGGTGTCGTTTAACATACACACCCGCAGCGGTTTGCATGAACGGGGTGAGGCGGTGCGGAATTCGCACAGAAACTGGTTCAGTGTGAATCCGGACTCAAAGTGAATTTTTTAGCAGCTCTCACACATAAATGAATACAAATTCCAGAATGTGAAACATTTATATCTGGTACACTATGCAGCTTTCTTGCTAGACCTGGAAACGTCAGATTAGGGAAAAAAAAAATCAATATGATTTCCTGAAAGGGCGAAATTTTTATGATTTGGAGATTCGAATATATCCGAATGACAATAGTAACGAATTTAAACAAATCCTAAATAACGAAAGAAAATTTTGTCCAAAATAATCTGGATCAAATTCAAATCGATTTTGAAGTGAATTTGAAAATGACATCGAAATAAAATTCTGAAACAAATTCAAACTGTAAGAATATTGCTGACTTTGCTGATTTCCTTCAAAGACTATAGGGGTGGATGTACTAAAGGCAAATAGACGGTGTACTCTGCAAGTGCAGTTGCTCCAGAGCTTAGTAAATGAGTGGAAGTTCTGCTGACTTCCATCATCTAATCACATGCGAGCAAAAATGCAATTTTATTTTCCCTGAACGTGTTCGGGTAATCTTTGCAAAGGGAAGCTTTACCTCATTTACGAAGATCTGGGGCCACTGCACTTTGCAAAGTGCACAGTCTATTTGCCTTTAGTAAATCAACCCCTTGTAGGTATTACTGTTAGCCAGTGGCGTCCCGAGGCAGGTGTGGGGGTGTGGCTCGCACGGGGTGACACCAGACCCGCTCCACGAAAAGGTAAGTTGTAAAGCAAGCCGGCGCTCCCTTCAGGATGGATCGGATCCGCGGATTGGGGAGCATAATGTATCGGAGTCCGATCCATTATGCTCAATCCGCAGATCCGATCCGTTCTGCGGGGATCGTCAGCATGCAACCTATACGGGGTGACACCGGACCCGCTCTACGAAAAGGTAAGTTGTAAAGCAAACTGACGATCCCCGCAGGATGGATGGGATCTGCGGATTGGGGAGCATAATGGATCTGACTCAGATCCATTATGCTCAATCCGCAGATCCGATCCGTTCTGCGGGGATCGTCGGAGGGGTGACACCAAGTGTTATTGCACCGGGTGACACCAACCCTAGGGACGCCCCTGCTGTTAGCATATAGCCGTCTTCCGATGTTCAAATTTGAAGAGGATCTAATTGAATAAAATAGAATTTAAAATAAAAGAATAAAAAAAAAAGGAATAGGATATAAAATAATGAAGTAGAATGGAAAGAATACAGCCATCTTCCAAAATTTTAAATTTGAATAGAATAAAATAGAATACATCCATTTTCCGAAATTCAAATTTGAAAAGAATGTAATAAAATAAAAGAGAATAGAATAGTACAAGTAAAGGAATTAAAAAATAAAAGAGAATAGAATAGAAAAGACTAGAATAGAATAAAAATATAATAAAAAAAATAGAAAGAATATAGCCATCTTTCGAAATTAAAATTTTGAATAGAATAAAAAATACAAAGAATACAGACATCTTCCAAAATTTTAATTTTGAATAAAATAAAAATAGAATACACCCATCTTCCGAAATTCGAATTTGAAAAGAATGTAATAAAAAAAAGAGAATAGAATAGTACAAATAAAGGAATTACAAAAAATAGGAGAATAGAAAAGACTAGAAGAGAATAAACAATATATTAAAAAATAAAATAAAAAAGAATGTAGCCATCTTCCAAAATGTAAGTTTCAAATAGAATAGAATAAATAGAATATAGTGGTCTTTCAAAATTAAAATTTTGAACAGAATAGAATAAAATCAAAATTTTTAATTTCGAAAGGCGGCTATATTCTTTTTTTTTTTATTCTATTCAAAATTTTAATTTTGAAAGACAGCTATATTCTATTTTATTCTATTCGAAATTTAAACTTCAAAAGATGGCTATATTCTTTTTAATAGAATAAAATAGAAAAAATATAGCTGTCTTCTGAAATTCGAATTTGAAAATAATGTAACAAAGTAAAACAGAATAGAATAGAACATACATAGAAATAGAAAATAAAAGAATAGGACATAATAGAATAGAAAATACTAAAATAGACAAGAATAGAATAAAAGAAAATAGAATATAGCCATCTTCCAAAATTCAAATTTCAAATAGAATAGAATAAAATAGAAAAAATATAGCTGTCTTCCGAAATTCGAATTTGAAAATAATGTAATAAAGTAAAAAAGAATAGATAAGAACAGAAATAGAAATTAAAAGAATAGAACATAATAGAATAGAACAGAACAGACTAGACTAAAATAAAGAAAAATAAAATAAAATATAGCCGTCTTCCAAAATTCAAATTTCATATTAAATAAAATACAAAAATATAGCTGTTTTTTGAAATTCAAATTTCTAATAGAATAAAATAGAAAAAGAATAGAATAGAAAATAAAGGAATAGAACATAATAGAATAGAAAAGACTAGATACACAGAATATAACTGGATATAACATTTATAGGTGACATTGATCCAGGGAATATCCGATTGCCTCTCGGGGAACAGGAAGGAATTTTTTCCCTGCAGGAGCAAATTGGATCGTGCTTTGCTGGGGTTTTTTTTTGCCTTCCTCTGGATCAACTGTGGGTGTAGGATTATAACTTTTTTTTTTTATGGTTGAACTGGATGGATTTTTGTCTTTTTTCAGCCAGACTAACTATGTAACTATGTAATAGAATTAAATAAAATAGAAAGAACATAGCCGTCTTCTAAAATTTGAATTAAATAATAGAAAAAATATAGCTGTCTTCCGAAATTCAAATTTGAAAAGAATGTAATAAAGTAAAACAGAATAGAACATAAATAGAAATAGAAAATAAAAGAATAGAACATAATAGAATAGAATAAAATAAAATAGAATATAGCCGTCTTCCAAAATTCGAATGTCAAATGAAATAAAATAGAAAAATATAGCTGTTTTTTTGAAATTCAAATTTCTAATAGGTTAAAATAGAAAAAGAATAGAATAGAAAATAAAGGAATAGATTAGAAAAAAATAGAAAAGAATAGAATAGAACAAAGCCATCTTCCGAAATTTCAAATAAACTAGAACCAGCCATTCTTCACAATGAAACTCGATTCAATTCAATAGTTTGGATTAGAATTCAATTTGATTTGAATTCTTTGAATCCATTGGAAAAAATTTGCATCCGAATAAACGAGTTTAAAGGAATTTCGTGCAAAGAAAAAAGATAGCGACTTAATGAGTTAATCCGAAACGAAACAATTTTTTTTTTGTTCTGTGCACGTCTAACTGCCGGATCTTTCCTCCATGCTGAACTATAAAACGTTCTACGTGCAATAACTTTGTTCAGCAGCTCCGCCTGTAAAATGAATTTCTATTTTCTCATCTAGAAATACAGCAAATTATTAACCCCTTCCCAGCGACGTCACACAAATATGCGCCCTCACAAAACTGGGCTTTTTTCCATGGGAACGCATATTTGCGTATCTGTCTTTGTGCTGGGAGCGCGCCGCACTGCGCGTTCCCAGCACAGAGACCGCAGTGTCACTGAGAGCCCCGGGTCCCGTTCTAACGAGACTCCCGATTCTGGGTCACATGATCGCTGTGATAGCCTCTGATTGGCTATCACAGTGATCAGTCACTGTACAGCCCGGCCCTCTTGTTTTTTCTCTCTCTATGAATGGAGAAGAGAGATACATTGTATCATTATATACGTTCTATTATACATTGTGTCATTATGTACATCCTATTATACATTGTATCATTATACACATCCCATTATACATTGTATCATTATATACATCCTATTATACATTGTATCATTATATACATCCTATTATACATTGTATCATTATATACATACGTTATACATTGTCTATTATACATTGTATCATTATATACGTTCTATTATACATTGTATCGTTATATACATCCTATTATACATTGTATCATTATATACATCCTATCATTGTATATACATCCTATTATACATTGTATCGTTATCATCCCATTATACATACATATACCTATTATACATTGTATCATTATATACATCCTATTATACATTGTATCATTATATATTGTATCCTATATATACATTGTACATTTATTATATACATCCTATTATATTACATACATCCTTTATATATTGTATATTATACTATTATTATACATTGTATCATTATATACATCCTATTATACATTGTATAGTTATATACGTCTATTATACATTATACATATATCGTTATATACATCCTATTATACATTGTATCATTATATACGTTCTATTATACATTGTATCGTTATATATTATACATCCTATTATACATTGTATACATTATTATATACATCCTATTATACATTGTATCATTATATACATCCTATTATACATTGTATCGTTATATACATCCTATTATACATTGTATCGTTATATACATCCCATACTATACATTGTATCGTTATAAACATCCCATTATACATTGTATCGTTATATACATCCTATTATACATTGTATCATTATATACATCCTATTATACATTGTATCGTTATATACATCCCATTATACATTGTATCATTATATACATCCCATTATACATTGTATCATTATATACAATCCATTATACATTGTATCATTATATACATCCTATTATACATTGTATCATTA